CCTGGTCTGCATCCCCCATAGACTCCAACCATACATGGAGAGAGAAATTCCAGAGGTCTAAGCTGGGTTCTTGAAAGGAAGAGGCACTAGGGATCACTTCGCAAATATATAATGGCTAATGGAGCACAGCAGGGAGAAAATCAGCATGTGCTTTATAGACTATAGCAGGGGTAGGCAACCTTTTTGAGCCGGGGGCCGGGTTGCTGTCCCTAAGACAATTGAAGGGCCGAAGCACCAAAAATAAATAAAATTTAAAAATTTTTTAAAAATTTTAAAAAATGCATGCACACTCTCTCAGGCCCATAAAAAACATGGCAAATACCCTGAGGAGATTTTGCCAAGAAAACCCTAAGAACAAGTAATAACAACAATAATCAATATCATCATGGTAGGCAGCGGCGGTGGCAGGGGTCGGCAGCAGCGGCAGCGGCAGGACTGGCCTGGGGCCGGTCCAAAGGCCTCGGGGGCCGCATCCGGCCCCCGGGCCTTAGGTTGCCTACCCCTGGACTATAGCAAAGCCTTTGGATAGAACATGAAAGGCTATGGAATGCCCTTAAAGAAAGAGGGGTCTGAAGATGTCTCATCAGCAGCATTACCATGGGTCAAGATCAAGGGGAAAGCAATTAACAACAACAACAAAGGGTCACCTTAGGGTTGCCATAAGTTGGAAACAACGTGAGGGCACATAACAACAAATATATCCTGAAACAACCATATGCAGTTTCAGTCACAGGAATGTTAACCAGCGCCTTTCAGTTACCACTATTACTCTATCACATCTGGACATTTTTTGCTGTCAACTTCTTTTTCAACCAACAATGCCCCCAAGCAGTCCTTTTATTTCTATTACCTCTTTCAAACTCCTTCCCAACCTAAGCCCAGCACCCAGTTGCTTCACTGACCTATGCATAATCACACAAACATACACACACACTGCACTTTTGCCCCATTTTTGCATCAGATAAACATTCTCTGTCATCATTTTAAAAGGAAAAAATGACACTCCCATGTTTTTCTATTATTATGGCAACTGCTGAACTAAAAGGTATCTGTCCATGCTGCTAGAAAGATCTGGTTCACATCTTCAAGATCCAACTGCACCCATAGAAACATAATTGAACTAATACCCCAGAAAGCTTCGGTTCTATAGCTGTTTCATCAGTTTAAAGTAGGATCCAAAAAAGGCACAGGTGAGCAACTTTATGCCCTCATCTGGAACAGAACAGGACAATTCTGAGAAATCTTGCAACTTTACTTTCCCAGTAATCAAATCAATGTTGCTGTTTCTGTCCCAAGAACCAGGGAGGACACAACCAACAGATTTTCATAAAAAGTCAGGTTAAAGACACCCCAAAGGCACTAGATCCTGTCTAATCTTGGAAGCTAAGCAGGGTTAGCTCTGGTTAATGCTTGGAAGGGAGATCACCAATGAATATGAAGTGCTATAGGCTACATTTCAGAAGAAGGAAATGGCAAAACCACCTCTGAAGAATTAAAGCAGTTTGGTCATCACTTTAACTGTTACAACTCTATACTACAGAATCTTGGGATTTATATTTTGGTGAGGCATCAGAGCTCTCTGACAGACTTGGCCAAATACCTCACCAAACTACAAATCCCTGGATTCCGTAGGACAGAATAATGGCAGTTCAAGTGGTATTGATCAGCTTTAATTTTGCAATGTGGATACCTTAAATCAGGGGTTGGCAACCTACAGCCTGCAGGCCGCCCCTGGCCCACCGACCCCCGCCGACCGGCCCCCACCAACCCCCCCCGCCGCCACTGCACGCGTCATGGCCACCATTTCGGCAAATAAAATGGTGACCGTGGCACGGCGGCAGCGGGGGGCGGTGGGGGCCGTGAGTGTGTGCGCCGCCATTTCCCCCCCGGCCCGGCGGAATACCTGGGGACCAGCGACCAGCCCCAGGTAAAAAAATTCTTGCCGACCCCTGCCTTAAATATTCCTTACCTACCCTAGAAAATTCATGGGGTCACCATACATCAACAGACAACTTGAAGGCACACACACAATCCTTGGTAATGTAAGCTTGATCAACTCTTCCTGTGTACAGACCTGGCATTATGCATTATTCACTAGCACCTGAAAACTTGGCATCTTTTTAACAGGGTTCAGAAAAGATTAAGGGAAAACAGCCTTCCCCTGTCTAACCCCTTTTCTCCTAGATAGTCATAGAATTATAGAATTGGAAGAGACCACAAGGGCCATCCAGTCCAATCCCCTGCTATGCAGGAAATCCAAATCAAAGCATCCCTGGCAGATGGCCATCCAGCCTCTGTTCAAAGACCTCCAAAGAAGGTGACTCCACCACACTCCGAGGGAGTGTGTTCCACTGTCGAACAGCTCCCACTGTCAAGAAGTTCCTCCTAATGTTCAGGTGAAATCTATTTTCCTGTAGTTTGCATCCTTTGTTCCAGGTCCTGTTCCAGGTCCTTTGTTCCAGGAGCAGCAGAAAACAAGCTAGCGGCCTCCTCAATATGACATCCCTTCAAATATTTAAACAGGGCTATCATATCCCATCTTAACCTTCTCTTTTCCAGGCTAAACATCCCCAGCTCCCTAAGTCGTTCCTCATAGGGCTTGGTTTCCAGACCCTTCACCATTTTAGTTGCCCTCCTTTGGACATGGTCCAGTTTCTCCACATCCTTTTTGAATTGTGGTGCCCAGAACTGGACACAGTATTCCAGGTGAGGCCTGACCAAAGCAGAATATAGAGGCACTATTGCTTCCCTTGATCAGATACTATACTTCTATTGATGCAACCTAAAATTGCATTAGCCTTTTTAGCTGCTGCATCACACTGTTGACTCATGTTCAACTTGTGGTCTACTAGAACTCCTAGATCTCTTTCACACATACTCTCGTTAAGCCAGGTGTCCCTCATTTTATATCTATGCATTTCATTTTTTTTTTTTGGCCCTAAGTGCAGAGCCTTACATTTCTCCATGCTGAAATTCTTTGGCCCAGGTTTCTAATCTATAAAGGACATTTTGAATTTTCATCCTGTCCTCTGGGGTATTAGGTATTCCTCCTAATTTGTTAGCTTTGGCCCAGGTTTCTAATCTATTAAGGACATTTTGAATTTTCATCCTGTCCTCTGGGGTATTAGCTATTCCTCCTAATTTGTTAGCTTTGGCCCAGGTTTCTAATCTATTAAGGACATTTTGAATTTTCATCCTGTCCTCTGGGGTATTAGCTATTCCTCCTAATTTGTCCTCCCAATCCAAACCTCCTCTGGTCCAGCTCAAATGGGGCACATTCCATTCTCCTGAAAATTTGGGAGACTAAACAGTGACATTGTCCCAACTCCAAACATTCTGACTTTTTTCTGCTTCCATGCCTGTTTTTCTTAAAATGATGAGTTGCCGCTGTTAGAGTGTAAAATGTAACACATTTATTTCCAATATATTTAAACAAGTAGGAAGTATGCAAGAATCCACATTATTCACATCTATTCACATCCTAATTTATATAGTAATATTAACACAAATTGCCTCTAACCTCTCTTGAAAACTCATATATATCTTTACCAAGTTTCTCATTCCTTTTGGGAATTCAAGGGCTTACCTTGCTGTGCCACAGAAACTTATCAATGTAGCTGAAAGTAAATCAAGGTAGTAAGGCAGCACACGGTATGAGAGAAACTCATCCTTTGTGCAATACTAGTGTGTGTGAATTATTACTCCAATAGCAGAAACAAGAATTTAACACACTCTGTTGTCTTATGCTTGGACATAAGGAGATATGCAATAGCCTCAGACCTCTCCAAGATATTTAGAAATGTATTATTGTTTTCTATTTGTAACGCAAAATTCGAATCAAGGTTGTCATCCTCTGCCTACTTACATGAGAGTCAGCCTCCCTGAGATCAACAGGTCTTCCTTCTGAGTAGACATAAATAAAGGATTGTGATGCCAAGCTGTCAGAAATATTGAGGCAGTGGTTGTCTACTTACTTGGCTACATCTCAGCAAAGTACATCAAGTCTACAAAATGTATTTTTGTACATTTCATCAAAGGCACTGAGGCTAGGAAATGTATTTTTGTAGAGGCGGGAGAAGTGATCAAGGGAAGAGAAGACAGCAAATACAAAGGCATCTGAGGAAGTAGAACTAGTGTACAAAAGTTTATGCTACAACTTCTTTTGCTTTTGTCTCAAAGATGCTGCAAGATCCCTTTCCATACTGATATTCCAGATTGATAGTCTCTGAATCCTACGTTGCTGTTGTGTGTCTTCAAGTTGTTTCCGACTTAGGCGACCCAAAGCGTGGCACAGTGGATTCAGTGTTGGACTATGACTCTGGAGACCAGGGTTCGAATCCCGGCTCGGCTGTGTAGACCCACTGGGTGACCTTGGGCATGCCACACACTCTCAGCCAAACAGGATGGCCCTGGCAAAACTTGAACAAACCTTGCCAAGAAAATCCCACAATAGGTTTGCCTTAGGATCACCACAGAAACGACTTGAGGGTACACCACAACAAAGGCTTTTCTTGGAAAGATTTGTTCCGAGAGGCCTTTGCTTTTGCTTTCCTCTAAGGCCAAGAGAGTGTGACTAGCCCAAAGTCACTTGATGGGTTTCCATGGACGAGTGAGGATTTGAACCCTAATCTCCAGTTATCATCCAGCACTCAGATCACTACACACTCACACTCCCCGTCCAACTTCCTTCTGAGGAAGCAGGCACACACAGCATTGGCATGGTAAAGCCAACCTGTTCCCAGAGGAAATCTCAGCAGGTGAGCCAGCCAGGTGTCATGGGATGAGCGTTGGAATAGGGTTCGAATCAGCCATGGAAACCTATGGGCAAGTCACACTCTCTCAGCCTCAGAGGATGGCCATGATGGCAAACCCACTCTGAAGAAAGTGGCCAAGAAAACCCTGTGATGGGATGGCCAGAAGTCGGAGGCAAAACACACACACAGAGCCACAGGTGTCCCCTGCATGGCAAGCCAGCTGCACCTGTTGAGCATCCCTTTCCAGAACCCAGGTGTTCCACTCAGAAGACCTCCAGCCCCGCATCGCCTCACCTGTCAAGCCTCCGGTTCAGGCTGGGAGATCCTCCTCAATGGCCAAAGCAAAGCCCAGGACTGCCTTCCTCCAAGAGATGCGCAGAGGCTTGGCTCTTCCAAATCTCCCTTGGAGCCCCGCCCCCTCACTCGCCGCGGTTTAAAAACAAAAGGAGACGCCCCTTTCCCTTCGCTGATTGCAGGCAGGTGCAGATTGGATGCGTCCGCACTGGAGAATTGATCCGGTTTGACACCGCTTTAACTGCCACGGCTCCATGCAAGGGAATTCTGGGCTCCTGCTCTGGTGCCACAACCAACCCCCCCCCAAGAATTCCCTAGCACGGAGCCATGGCAGTTAAAGCGGTGTCAAACCGGATCCGTTCTCCAGTGCGGATGCAGCCATGGTGTTATGTTTCAGAACCATTTCTGAGCTGTGGAGAACTTAAGGCCACCCTAGCCTGGGGTTTTCTTGGGGAGGTTTGTTCCCAGGAGGCTTGCCATGGCCTGAGGCTGAGAGAATGTGACTCACCCAAGGTCACCCAGTGAGTTTCATGGCCCAGCTGGGAATTGAGCCCTAGTCTCCAAACCACTATGCCACACTGGCACTGTATACCTGGTTGATTTGACTGTTGTGGTTTTTAAATTTTATTTGATGAAAGACAGGATGTAACTATTTTAATTAAATAACGTAACTAGCCCTTTCTTCCAAAGCTTGATCCAAAGCTTGATCTCAAAGGGGCGGGGTAGAAATAAATCCGTTATTATTATTGTTAATATGTATGTGAGCTGACACTGTCTCTTGGAATTGGGACTAACATTGTTTTATTATTTTTCCTTGCTATATGATTTTAAACTTTTTTTTCCTGATGAAGAAGCCAGTGGAGCTTTGAAAGTTTGCAACATGTTTTTTGTCTGCTTTGGTTGATCCCATAAAGGTATCACTGTTTTGAGGATTTGGGATGTTATTGGACTTTGTTTTCCTTTATGAAATGTTTTCTTACCCTGGAGCCTTTCAGGGTTTAAAACATGAACAGGATTTGAAAGATTGGCCTAAACAAGGGTTGATGTTGTTGTTGTTGTTGTGTGCGTTCTGGTCATTTCGCACTTGTGGCAACCTTTAGGGATTTTCTTGGCAAACCCTAAGGGGGTTTTATGGGTTTTCTTGGCAAGATTTGTTCAGAGGGGGTTTGCTGTTGCCTTCCCCTGAGGCTGAGAGAGTGTGACTTGCCCAGGGTCACCTAGTGGGTTTCCATGGCTGAGTCTCAAATCAGGGATTCGAACCCTAGTCTCCAAAGTCGCAGTCCAATACTCAAACTACTACACTAAGTTGGCTCTTCTATACAGCGGACTTTCTAGAAAGACCTTGAATTTTGAAAGAGACTTTAAAAAATATTATTGATGAAGTTTAACATTCAACACTTAAACAACAAGGACAAAGACAATAAACACTAAGTGCACCATGGAAAAAGAGAATATCCTTCTTGTATTATAAGGAGGCATAGGAAATATGATATATGTAATGTAGTGGTTTGAGCATTGGAGGACTCTGGAGACCAGGATTTGAATCTATGTAAATCCACTGGCTGACCTTGGGCAAGTCACACTATCTCAGCCTCAGAAGATGGTAATGGAAAACCCCTTCTGAAGAAACATGCCAAGAAAACCCTGTGATGGGTTTGCCATAGGGTTGCCATAAGTTGGAAATGACTTGAAGGCATACAACAGCAACAACAAAATTTAGAGAGGAGTAACATTTTATTTCAGTTAATATACTACAGTCAAGAAAAGCTGGGAAGTGATTTTAATGGGGTGGTAGGATTAGGAATATGATGTTGTTTATTGTTTGAACATGAATTTTTAACTCTCTCAAAGAAAAAGAGAAACCCCCAGCAATTGTATAGAGACCAATCTGGCCTTGTGGGATTTCATATTTCCAACTTCACAGAAGGCTGGATTTCATTTTTGAAGAGTGAATGTACCCAACAGCTGAACTCCTGAAGAGTTCAGGAAAATAAACCTGATTTCTAATCTATATTACTGTAGAACATGTATGTACCATTAACACAACCCACTCCAAAGCTCCATGTTTGCAAAAGCAGTTCAGTACATTATGCTCTAGGCTGCTGGCTTACAAAGGAAAAGGACCTACCCACACCTTTCCTTGACCTTAACTCCTGGATTTTACATCACCAGCAATGTTCTCATAGAAAATTGATTTTTTTATGGCTATAACAGTAGTCATTTCCTTTTCCTGTATCTCTTGCAAGAAAGGTTGCATCATTTTAGAATTTCTAAAATCTATATAAGGGCAGTGTCTTTAGTAGACAAACTCAAAGTCAAAAAATAGTGTATAATTCTTTCACAAAAACATTTTATCCGACAAAAGGGGAGGGGGGATATTCAGCCCTTGGAATCTGTGTTTAGTTATAGTCCTACAATGGTGTTACCCTGCCTAGTTCCTAAAATTAGGTGTGATCTGGAGTGTCCCTCAACCCCATATAAGATTTAGCTATTACATGGATTTATCTGTGTTTTTTGGCTAAACTGAATGGTGGGAAATTCTGGACAGAGAGAAAAGGAAGTATTTCTTACTGGTGCATACTTAAACTGTGGGATTCACTGTCAAAAGATGTAATTAGTCCTGACATACTATCCTAAAATGTTTATTTATGCTGATATAGGTAGGACTATACTCAGAATGGATATACTTATGACTTTAATATTTAACAAGAGCTGCATCTGCATTGCAGAAATAATGCAGTCTGACACCACTTTAAATGCCATGACTCAATGCTATCAGGGATTTCTAGTTTGTTGTCACCAGAGCTCTCTTACAGAGAAGGCTAAATATTCAGATGTATCCCTCCACTTTCTTCCTGAATTTTCCTTAGCAGTCATTTTGAGCCACTGCTGTTTTCTGGTGTCAACTGCATGCTTTAATTATTTCTTCCTCCAGTTTTCCCACTGTTTCCACTATGCCATGCGATATGATATGTCTGCATATAAATGAAATAAATCCTTGTTAAGATGCACCCTTGTCTGACATCTTTACCAACTGGAAAACATTCTTTTTTCCTCCACATTTCATGCTAACAGTGGTCTCTTGTTCAGAGTTTAGATTATATATCAGGACAGTGCAGTGTTGTTGCACTCCCATTCCATTTGGGGTAATCCATACCTTTTTCATGATCTAGAGTCAAAGGATTTGCTATAATCTATAAAATGCACTGTCAAGAAATCAGAAGATTAAGAATGGGGAGGGAAGCTATGAAAGAGCTAGAGAAGGTCCTGAAGAGCAAAGATAAACAATTGAGAATGAAAGTTAGAATCATACAAGCCATTGTATTTCCTATTACCATCTATGGATGCAATAACTGAACAGTTAAGAAAGCAGATGGGGGGGAAAATCAGTTCATTGGAGATGTGCTGCTGGAGGAGAGTGCTAGGGATTCTGTGGACAGCCAAAAAGACAAACAAATGGGTCCTAGAATAGATCAAGCTGGAAATCTCCCTAGAAGCCAAGATGACTAAACTGAGGCAGTGGTATTTTGGCCACATCATGAGAAAGCACAACTCATTGGAAAAAAACAATAATGCCAGGAAAGGTGGAGGGAAGTAGAAAGAGGGAAAGGTCATATGCCAGATGGATGGACTTTATTAAAGAGACCACAGCTATGAAATTACAGGTACAAAGCAGATCAATGGAGGGCAGGTAGTCTTGGAGATGTCTCAACCATGGGTTGAGATCAACTCAAGGGTGGTTAACAACAACAAGTACCGGTAAAATGCAGGCTGATTTTCTTGCTCCCAAGAAAGTGTGCATAGGAAAGAGTGCATGCAGCCCTGTTTATTCCTGTGAGGACTCAGTTGTCTTCATATTTTCTGTTCTTAATCTTTTAGTACATATCTAGTTGAGAATTACAGAGGAAGCTCAACCACACAGAAGTCTTGGTGGTGCAATTTTACCTGATCATTGCAGCTACTCCTAACTTAGTCCTGCAGGGTGCCACATTCCCCCATACCCCTGTCCAGGATCCATGAACACTGGGGCTCCATGCAGTGAACAGCCTACTGTCTTCACACACACTACAACTACTGAACTATGTTTCGAAGTCCTGCTGATCCTATTCTATGTGATATAAATGGTTTATTTGGGGGGGTTAGCACCTTGGACAACCCATTTAACATTCCGACTGAAACCCAGAGCAAATTCAACACTTTGGCCTTACATTTTTTATCTTTATTTTTTTCAGACTTCAAATTCCAGAAGACCCAGTCAACTTGGCCAACAGTCAGGAATTATGGGAGGTGAAGTCCAAAACAT